AGTCACCACGAAGTGGTGAAGTATGACTCACGGGAGCCAGTTCTGGACTGGTCTGATAGACGTGCGTAATATAGGATCGTACGTTTAACAACATGTCTTATCTATATTAATTTAAAGAAACAAGAAGTTGTGAAAGTCGTTATCCCGTGCCATCTGGACCTTTCGGAAAGGTGTTTAAGCGACATTTATGCTCTAGTTCAATTCTCCACTAGGAGATCCGTAAAGTCGTCAGTACTAATAGGTCAGATGAGGTACCCAAAAGAATCGAGAAACCACTATCAACTGTAAAACACACATAAGAGGCTTCTCCTGCCGTCGACACGACGAGCAACAGTATCTAGATTGAACCTGGTGAGATCGTAATTTTGACGCAGGGTGGGCAATGAACCGGTGTGAAGGACGTCCAATGTATCAAACACAATGTATAATCGTACCTATGAGAAAACAAGAGGGAAAAATTGAACCAGTCTCACGTCGAAGTCCCTAATGACGAGTAATAGAGGGACCTATAAACCGAGTCTTAGGCTATTAGACGGGACCCCGAGAGGAAGTAGAAGAAGAAAAAGCATGGTGTTTTGGATTTTAGATACAAACTTGTACATAGAGAAACTTCTTTCCACCAGATAAATTTATAGTTTGGACAAGGAAAGCGCGAGATCCGAGGAGCCGAAGGGAGCAGAGAAAAAGATGTTTTAGACTTTTTTTGTAACTGATGGTACTCACATAATTTCTTATATTGGACAAGGAAAAGAGGCAGAATCACGAAAGGGAGGCGAGGGAGCGGTACTATAGGAGATATACTTCTTTGCTTTATACCAAACAATCTATACTCGTTTCTCATAGGATGACATTCACACAAAAAGTTACTGTTGAATAGGTGCAAGCTCGTACGTAGTAATCGAAAAATTTCGATATTAAACGCGGTGTCTGATTTCCCGTTAACTGTAATTAAATAATAAAATAGTAAGCAGTGATTTTCTTACTCGCGATAGTTTTTGTAACGAATTTACTGATCACCTATGTACTAGTAGCGTACTAAGTCGGAGTTCGGAAAAGTTCTACCCAAATTTGACAGTATGACTTCTTAGGTGCTGATAGATGGGTAGGAATTGACTGAAAAAAGTGCCGCAAGTCCGGACTGTGCTGTGGACAAGAAAGCCCAAGAAGACGGGGACAGCAGAGACGAACATGTGAAATCGAAAAGAAGACGGAGTAGGATTTAATGTACTTAAAAAAGGGGCTGACTTGTCGATCCGATCAATTCCACACAACGATACGCCAGCGGTTCGTCATTTCGTGCGGACCCCTTTTGGACGCCTATAGGTACCTTTCTTTAGTTTAGACTGTAATTGAAAACTTTATATCTTTCCAGATTTGACTGCAACCAATGATATGTCGTACCTTTCACCGAGAAGAGAACAAAAGGTACGTCACTGGGTAAGAACCAGAGTTAAAATCGTCAGTTCCTACTTTTTTACAACCACAATGTAAGAGACGACACTAGAATTTAATAAACAATCACCGTGGGGAAACTTATCGAAGTTTGCTACGTCAGACTCGGTGAGACGCGACCAGTCGACGAGACGGTACCTGAAAAGTTGTGTGCCTGACGCTGACTCATGAACGATGTGGAACCCCTCGCAGTACAAAGACAGAACTTCTCCTCTCTCCTTAAGTCTGTTGAGCAAGATTTCGTAGTATGTACTAAGGGTGTCTAACAACGTGTTTCACTGTAATCTTCCGCTAGATTTAATTTGGTGCTTGCCGTAAAAGACAACCTTGAAGGAAATCCTAGTTGACTACCGTAACCTTTTCACGACACCTAACGTCCCATGCGACGGGAATGGTCGAAATTACCAGGACATTGACCTAGCGGTGGGTAGATCACGGACTCTAAAGGGATACAAGTCTGTGGACATTCGTTCAAGGAGTGTTGTAAGTCACTCGAAGTGCCGCCAAAAACACCGCTATCGTACTATCTCTGACATGTGAAACAGTTTCTTTTGACATTCAGTAAGTAGGGAATGTCAAGAAGTTGTCTAGAGGTTGTGAGTCGAGTTCTGCCACCAAGTGACGTCACGGTGTGGTAATGCAACCTTTGAAGAAGATGCTAAAACCAACCGTTGTGGACGAATGAAGGTTCGTAATGTCTTCGAGGTAGACTACGTTCGTTTGTTTCGCAGTGAGTCTTATCGAAGTCTCTTCGGTAACTACACCTGTCTACAAAGTAATCTCGACAACCTATCTAACAGTGGACGTAAACCATCGTCCTTTCGCCAGTTGATCTAGGTTCTTCTTACAATCCGAGAAGTGAGTAGGGATTCCGAGCGAGATATATTTACTAGGTTATGACTAAAAAATGACAGTCACACCATCGAATTAGATAGTAATTGTCTTTCAAAACAAGGTGAAACTTCCTGGAAAGGTTGATGAGAGAAAGCGTAAAGTAAACGATACACTAACCGACTAACAACGTGTTCTTATCCAGACTTACATTTCAAGAAGGGTAGCAGATCAGGTAGTTCTGAACGTCTAGTTATAGCCTGCCATCACAGACACTTTCCGAGGTCTAAAGTGTTAGAACATTGACATGTCTTTATGGGATAGTCATCAATTCTTCACTAAGGAGAACGTAAAAGTCTTCAGTTACAAAGGTTACAGAAAAAGAAACGAAAAAGGTACCAGAAAGAAGTCGACGAACCACCTATCAGACTGTATAAATACGAACACATAAAAGCAATGCTTCTCGACGTCGACACCGACCGAGCCAAACATGGTATCCGACATTGAATTCAACCTGGTGAGGAGTCGTTTATACGTTGACCGACGAAGGGGTGGACATGAACCGGGTTGGTGAAAGTAAAAGACCGTCCAATCCGTCGGTTCAAAAAACAACGAAACTGTATAATCCGTACCTATTATGAAAAAAAGAGAGACTTGACCATCTACAGGTCGTAAGTCCCTATAGAACGAGTAATAGAAGGGACCAATAAAAACCAGTCTTAGTAGCTGTGATAGAGCGGGACGAAGACGGAGGAGGAGAGAAGAAAAAATGGTGTTTTGTATTTAGATACATTTTTGGGTGAACATCTAGGATAAGGGAGAAAGCTTTTCTTTTCACAGATAAATCTTAAGACTAGTTTGGACAAGGACAAGGTCGAAGATGCGGGAGACGAAGACGGGGGAGGAGAGAGAAGAAAAAAGAATGTGTTTTTGTATTTTAGATACAATTTTGGGGTGAACCATTATAAGATTTTCTTTCCTACAGATAATCTCAAAGTTTTGGACAAGAAGAGGTCGAGATCGAGAGACGAACGAAGGGAGAGAGAAAAAAGCGGTGTTTGTATTTAGAGACAATTTAGGGTGAACATCCTAATTCGATGTAAAAGGGGGAGAAGCTTTTTTTTTCACAGATAAATCTTTATAGTT